AAGAAGTTGGAATAATCATCCTTCTTCTTCAAAGAGTTAAAATCCATAAACCATCCAGGATATGCTAAGAAAATATAATAATAGTAATAATAATAATAATAATAATAATAATAATAATAATATAATAATAATAATAATAATATAATAATAACATTAATAATAATAATAATAATAATAATGTGAGTTGATTAGTGCTGGTTGTTTGTGATTGTAGTTGATGTTGGTGATTGATAGGGCTGGTTGGTGGTCAACCTTTCAAGTGAGTATTCATTGAAAGAATTCATCTTGAAGTAAATCTAGTGTTTGAGCTTTAGAATCTGAAATAATCATTTTAGACTGAATATCTATATATTTCATGTATGATGTGAAGAAAAATTCTTTAACTTGCTCCACTATGGAGATAGTGTTTAGATGGTGGTGAATTAAGGAAAATATTTAAATACTTCCAGATTTTTATTACTATTATTATCACAATTACTGTTATTAATGTAGTGGAAATGAACAGCATAAAGGAAGGAAAGGCAATATTCTGATATAGTGCAGGTGGAGCAGAGAATGAGTGAGTGACGAATGAACTAATCAAGTTTTATAAGTTTGATAGTGAGTAAAATGTGGTATCGGTAATATTTTTTGGAAGGTTTCGAGCAAGTTCTTCGAATTTCGAAAGAATATTATGGACTTAGAGAGATTTCTTCAAAATGTTGTGAACTTTAATAGAATTTGTTAGATTCTTGAAGGATTTTGATGGTATAACGTAAATTTTCAAGGATCTTTGATGATATAGCAGTTACTCGTTTAGATTTTCAATGATTGCAGTTGCAGTGGAATGCTGTGAATAAATGAGAAGGAAAGTGTGTGATAATTGAAGCCAACAAAATGCAAACTATTATAGCGTTAAATGCTCGAACGTGCATGCGTCAGCAATTTATCAGGCAATAAAGCAGATTAATATTGCTGCATGCTAATTTCTTAGCAAAGATGCAAATGTTGGTTGACTATTGATAAGAAAACGGACGAATCTTAAAAATAAAATTTTTTACTTATTCTCAGACATCCTGCGTAAATATTTCGCCTCTTCAAAACTGCGCAATTCCAGATCCGACTGAGGCGGCTCCTCACCTCGACGAAGACGTTTCCTGAAAGTTCAACCAAGATAGGTATCACTTATGCATGCAATCTGTTTTCCACTCGTAATGTCATTCCGTTGGATAAGCTTTAACACAGCTCACAATTTATGGTGCCCACCATTGATATGAAAAGTTAAGAAATACGTTCCTATCAATAATAATCAGATACCTGTACGAAGGTCGGAATTCGAATGATAACCAAACAGCGGCCACCAACAGAGCAGCTAATAAAAGGCCAATGGACGTGAACAAGATGATCACTCGAAAATGATAACTCTCACAACAACTCGCCTCGTCGCATTCCCATGCGAACATCTGAGCACACACCGTACTCCCCATCCTTTTCACTTTTATCTTCTATAATATACCAAAGTGTGCACAAGCGATAATAAGCATGAACATTGTCTGATGCATGAATTAATTGTTTGGGTGCACATTGATACACCAAAGGCCCATTTTTCATAGAACAATTCTACGAAGCGATCAATCAAGCCATTTAACATGCACTCACGAACGATTTCAATAATATTAATAGTTTTAATAATATTAATAAAAATAATAATAACAATTATAAATAATAGCAACAGTAATAATAATAATAATAAATAATAATAATAATAAAAATAAAAATAATAATAATCATATTAATAATAATGGCAATAACAATGCAAATATCAATGATAATAACAGTATGAGAAATAATGAACGAAGTAGCAACAACAGTAACGGAATGGTTAATATTTACTCAGTTCGATCCGGATAAATAAATGAATGCGTGTAGAAGC